CTGCTCCTTGGGATTCTTGTAGAAATTTCTCAATTCTTTTATCGCATTGTCCCAATCATTTTTCGTCACAAATCCCCAGAACTTTGGATAAGCAGGGGGATAATTAAACTGATACCAAACGCTGACGATGGCTGTGCGAATACCGCGAGGAAGTGATGCAAACGCCAGCGCATTCCCATCTTTATCGCTGTCGTATCTTTTTGAAACTTCATTGAGTACATCGTTTGTAGCAGCATCTGTCAAATTGTTTGCCTCCGTTAATGTTAGGTTCAAGGGATGTTCAATCGCAGCACAAGAAGCGAGATTTCCTATCAAACCAAAGTAAGGTTCAAGTTTGTTAACAATTGTGCTTGACAATGACGTGAAAGACGCCCTCGACTTGTTTCCAAGATCAACACCACAACCAATCGTAACGCCACTTTGTCCAATTACTTCACCAGATTTTGGATTGATCGGGACGTATCCACACAGAGTAAAACCTTCATGACAGTTCAGAAATTTCTTGTCAATCATTGGCGCCGATGTTTCGCTGCCTTTTGGTATTCCAGACTTCCAAGAGGCTGGGCAGTCCAGCTGCTCAACTTTGCAATCGATTGGAACTCGACGTTTACCAATGTATTCTGATGGATTATAATCACCACTGCAGTTGAATGTTTGGGCGTAAACTGTGCCAAGCGCAACTACAAGAAGAATAGAAAACCTCACAAGCATTTTGACTAAAATTGTACCGACTAAGGTGCGTAAACAGCAAACGCTTTGGTGTGAAATAAAAGGCTTTGCAAATAGCACAGTTTATATAATACTACCAACGACTCAAATAGATTGGATTGACCAATGAGAACAAGTGCAACTTAGAATTTGAATGCCTCAGCACTCTGCTGAACCCACAAGTGCATAAAAGCTTGACATAAGTAAATTTTGTGCATAAAGAAACTGTTTAATAATAAGCGGCTTTAAATTCCCAAGAGCAGAAAATCATGAGCTTACAAAGATATTTTAATTTCTTAATAAGTCAATATTTAATATATGCACCCTTATACACATTTTACACATCTTTGCGTTCAGCTTAGTGCATGCTAGGACATTGATGCATAAAGAAATTGTTTAAGAAGCTGCTTTAGGCCTGTTTTATACAGGGTGTTCCAAAAGAAACGAAAACTATTGAAATAATGTATTGTTAGAATTTGAATGCCTCAGCACTAAGCTGAACCCACAGGTGCATCAAAACTTGACATAAGTAAATTGTATGCATAAAGAAACCATTTAGGAGCTGCTTTAAATTCCCATGCAAGAGCAGAAAATCGTGCGCTCTACAGTGTGTCCCCAAAAAAGTAGCCTCTATACAGGGTGTATCAAAAAAAAGGAGACCTTTAGAAATCAAGCATATTGTTAAAATTTGAATGCCTTTTCAATTGTACATATGCTGAACCGTATTGCGTGAAATATTGATGGATGCATATATTAGAAAAAGGAGACCTTTAGAATTTGAAATAACGTTTAAACAAAAGATTGTCTGCTCCTGGGAACAACCTGCCATGCGCTTAGCAAAGTGCTCCAGGATTCAAATTATAACAATGGTTGATTTCTAAAGGTCTCCTCTTTCTAATATATGCACTCCATCAATATTTCACGCACCACAGTTCAGCATATGTGCAATTGAAATGGCATTCAAATTTTAACAATATGCTTGATTTCTAAAGGTCTCCTTTTATTTGATACACCCTGTATAGTGGTACACTGACGTCAGAAATCCTTAGAGTGTCCCTATCAGATGCTCCTAGGCCTAACAATAACTGTCCAGGTACAACAACCACATATATACATAATACAAAATTATAATAAAGTTTTACAAAATTTGCTTTGATTACAAAAGTTATATTATGCATAGATTGCTAATTTGTCCTCCAGATGCATCGTCACAGGCGCTGTGACGTCATGTGCAATGGGTCTAGTTAACTTTAATCACTTTTTTATACAACCGGCCCCTGACACTGTCACAGCATTATAATTATTCACGGCAGTGAGTGGGTAGAACCACTGTCAATGTTATCATGGTTTATTTTTCTAATGTAAGTATACGAGAATCCGTTACTCATTACTCACAATATACAAACACCCATTGCAATTAAGTAATATTACTAGAAAATACATGCATGCAGAAACCCTTGCCTTGCTGACAAAACCGTTGTATTTTCCGAACAGGAAGTATCTAGAGTAGTTGTCATGGTAACACGATAATTTTTGCTGCCGAAGGCAGCCTCCTATTCTTGACGATGTGTTATAGCGCATTTGAATTTCCCGCCAACTGTATTATATACTGAAGCGTATCTCGATTTTGTGTCAGCAGTTGTGACGTCAAATTATGACGTTGCAGAAAGGAATTTACATTGGAGAATTATCATACCCCAGGAGTTTACGATAGCAAGTCGACGACTGCCGAATACTTTGTTCAGCGATCTGCGAACGACGTACCAAGAATGGCGTTTAAGAATATTTCGATCTGCAGCTTTCCAAACCAGTGTTTCTAAAACACGAGGTCAGGAGCGAAGCAAAGACACATTTTTGTATAAATACTGGCCTTATCATATTCAAGTTTTTTGAGAAAGGGAGATGGTTTAATAGAGGTATGTCAATTCGCGCGATTTTTTCTTTTCTTTTACCTAAGCTCAAATTATTCACAGCGAATTTCGACTGTTAGCAGTTATATAAATACGTTTGTAAAACGAGTAGTAGTCATATATATTAAAGAATGCACCTATGGCTATGAATGTTTAGCTCCACGGTTAAGAAAATTGACTTTAAATACCGTCGCTGATAAAAACATTTCCAATTCGCGTATGATTCTAGCTATCTTTCAGCCAAATACGTACACATTCAACCAGCTCCAAGTTGATTGGCTGAGCAAAATATTGAAACCATCACACAAGCATTGAACTTTCTCGGTAAAAACATTGAACTTTGTCATGAGAATAGACATGTTTTTCTGCGACTGTTCCTCCTTGACCTTATAAGCGATGGTATATTTAATTTATTAATGTAGCATATTCATCACAAACTATATGTAATGTGGAATGTTGTGTATACACGTCTTAATAATCAGGCTTTTTAATATAAAGATATTCCTATAGCAACCCAGTGTGGATTGTTGTCTGCACATACAGTATTAACTTACCAGCAATTACATATAATGACATGTCAACCGACTTTGTACAAGGTATGGCGGTATGTAAAAATATACCTCTGAGATCTATATGTATATATGTACATTGTTAGCATAATTTGAAATAATCCTACCGATCTCTTCATTAATATATTCACCTGGCTGTGTCACTCATTTCAGGGTATATACTATTTTTTTTCAATAATGCTCACAATTTCTTCTTATATTATATAGTTTTGCAGTTCTGACTGAGTACAATCTTAGCCATTATGTAAAAATATACCTCTGAGATCTATATGTATACAGGGCCGTAGGAAGCTCTTTTCGATTGGGGGGGGGCTGAAAGCGAAGGCCCGAGGAAATTTTTAAATTTAGAGTTTCTGAAATGTCATTTCCTGGACTTTGGGGGAAGATTTGACAGAATTCTGATAGTCAGAAAACAGCGTTTTAGTATGTCGAAATTTACAATTTAGTAGTACTAAATGGGCGAAGGCATATTTAATTAACTATATATTGAGTAAGTTGCAGGAAAGTGTGGGTAATACCTTCATTCTTTGCAGTTTGTCACAAATTAAATGATAAAGGTCTGCATGATTTTGAAAAAAGAATGATTATTAGCAAATTATTGGGGGGCTGCAGCTCCCCCAGTTGCTACGGCCCTGGTATATATGTACATTGTTAGCATAATATGAAATAATCCTACCGGCCTTCACTAATATATTCACCTGGCTGTGTCACTCATTTCAGGGTATATACTATTTTTTCAGTAATGCTCACAATTTCTTCTTATATTATATAGTTTTGCAGTTCTGACTGAGTACAACCTTAGTCATTACAAATGAATGTTGTCATCTGAAGCCAACGTATTAAACAAAAATATCAACAAATAGATTTTGTCTCCACATCAGATTGTTCAGTTGTTCTGCAATAGGGGAAGCCTTGATGGTGCCATTAAAATGATAAATGGGACAAAAACTGACTTAGTATTTCTAAATATAAAATTGTTATTAAATTCTACATGTCCATTGATTCATTCAAGTATTATATTGTTTATTCATATGATATTGTACAGTATTCAGTGGCAAGCTAGCCATGGCAAATGGTCATGCTATGCTACTAAACCTGCAATGCCAATCTTTCAAAACTTGCACAGCATGACCTGTTGCTATGGCTAGCTTCACCACTGACAGTATTACAATTATACACACAAAACAAGAAGTTATAATTAATTATAACTTCTTGTTTTGTGTGTATAATTGTAATACTGTCAGTGGTGAAGCTATTCATTAAAGGTGAAGGTATTCATTAAATTCATATAAAATCGCCCATGCCAAGAAAGTAGAATTAGGATATTTAGCTGACCTTTGACTTTGTGCAAGGTGTTTGGTATTCAAATTGCACTTTTAATTTCCTACCTCCTGAACAGGCATATTGGGGCCTGTTTACATGAAGAAAGGTGGGTAGATTTTGATGTATTGAAATAAGTCAAATAGAAATAAGTCAATAAGCTAAACGAAAGTTCAAATGCTGGTTAACAGATCTCAAATGTTGTGGGGAAGATCTAATTGTTGTTCAAGAAGATTATTATTGCTGCTTGAACAACCTTTCTTTTAAAGGTAACTATAATCTATCTCTAAAAAATCACGTTGTGCACCATGACTTATTTCAATACATCGAAATCATTCTGCCTGATATCTCGTCCTGGCAAAAAGGGATCATAAACAGCAAACTGCCCATGCTGCCTTTGATTGCTTGGGGGTAGGCAGCACTTTCCTTGCGATAGTAACTTCTAGTTTAAGAATATTCTTACAAATGAAAATCGCCTAAAAATATCACTTTTAATTACAAAATTATCAATTTCCCAACATATATATTGCCTTTAACTATTAAATGGCTTTATCGATAAACTTTGAGTTTGCAATAAAATTATTTCAAATTCTCGCTTGCAAATAACTTTGGTCTTTGCTTTATTTTTTATTTAAAAAATTCAATATCATAAAAAAGGGAATCAATATTAAAGTTACACTGAAATTTATATATGCTATCTTGTTTAGTTGTTTCATATACGCAAAGGCCGTCGGGTTTTAAAGCCATTATAAAATCAATATTTAAAACAAACTTACCTTCCTTAACGTCGGCTCCCTTCTTTTAGCTGATTCTTTCGCCCTTTCTTTCTTGAAATTTACAAAATCTTGCAGAAATACGAGCAAAAATGAAATATATTTGCAAGAAATTTACAATCATCAAATTCAAATCAAGAAATGTTTGCTATTTCGCTGTCGTCATGCAGTCGTTATAATGCAAACTTTAAATTGGACCAATCAGTGTCCGTTATTCCGTGACAATCCGCCATATTTTTGAGATCAGTGAGGATGACCACCCATCGTTGGTGA